TCAAATCGAGCCCCAGACGCGACATTCCTATCCTCCTCCGAAGGGCCTGTGAACTTCCACGTCAGTACATTCGTCCTCAAAACAATGAACAGTGCAAACAAAGAGCGTTATTCTGCTGGAAACATCGTCCCCCATGCAAACAGTACAGAAATGAACACAGCACAATTCATTTTAATGGGGTTCCCAAAGGAGACATTCCTGGTGGAATGTATGTAACCAATGTTTATCATCTCCTTTCCTCCTTCCTCTCCCTCCTTCCTTAAAAAAAGAAAGGAAAGCTCCGACTATAATTTCAAAACTTTGAGGGGCTCCGGGGAAAAGTTAATTATGACTTTGCAAATGACTCAGGCGAGCAGCGTAACGGAGGTTTATTCTCAATGAGCTTAATTTGCATGACTAATGAATAGTAGATGGTGCACAATACCTGTCTCACATCCTGGTTCGTAATTGCCGTCAAAAGCTGCAAACCCAGCACCAGGGGCCATAATGAATTCTCCATTCAGTGGAAGCTTCTGAGCAGTGAAAAAAACAAAAACAAAGGGAAGCAGAGTTCGGAGGCTTTGCTTGGCGTTCCAATATTAACAACGTTCCTACACGGCTAGTATTTTACCACCTACAATGAACTTCAGTAGCATCCATCTAGCCATCCGAAATTACTATCCAGATTTAGGCTTACCCAAATTATGCAATTTCTTGTTTCTGAGTTCCATTCTTCTTGCTGGATCAATGGAGAAGCAAGGAGAAAAAATGTGGGTGGACAAAGGCAAGGAAACTGTGATGTCACATCCAGGTGATCACCCAAAAGTGATGTCACAGCAGCCGTGATACTCTCGGAATTCCCCAGGTCTCTATGGTAAAAAGAGTGGAAGGATTCCTAGAGTGCCATGGACATTGTCACATCGCTTTCAGGTGCTCACCTGGATGTGATGTCATGGTGTCCACGGCGCTCCTTCTTTCCAGGCTCCACCCCTGAAACATTCCCAGGGATTGCTAGTGGCAGGTGGCAACCCTGTGAAGACCAGAATAGTAGCAGACATTCAGATTAAAAAACTAAGGCAGCTTTTGCAGTACAGATGTCATAAAGGAAAAGGTTCCCTTGCTCGAAAGCCAGTCGAATCTGACTCTAGGGTTGCGGTGCTCATCTCCGTTTCAAAGCCGAAGAGCCAGCGCTGTCCGAAGATGTTTCTGTAGTCATGTGGCCGGCATGACTAAACACCAAGGCGCACGGAACGCTGTTACCTTCCCACCGAAGTAGTCCCTATTTATCTACTTGCAATTTCTTGCTTTCAAACTGCTAGGTTGACAGGAGCTGGAACTAGAGATGAGAGCTCACTCCATCATGCGACACCCGGGTCTCGAACTGCTGAACTACTGACCTCCCACAGCCTGCACTTCAGCGTCTTAACCACTTGAGCCATGTCATAGATACTAGGTAAAGTGGGGGATTTTATGTACTAAGGGCCAAACTACGTGTTATGTATTATACAATCCATACTGCAAGTGCCAGTTCCTGGAGGCAACTCCTGTGCAAAAATGCCACACAATCTGATTCAGATTGGAAAAACGGCAGGGGCGGCGCTCTTGCCGCCCCCCATTTTCTGAGCCAACATGGCCTGGGGGGTGGGGCATTCTTTGCCCTGTCAGTCAGCTGCCCATGCAAGCACTGAGTCTACATGCAGCCACCTGATTGGACAAAGAAAGCCTCCCCCTGCTCCGTCAGGCTGTTTTGGCTCCAGAAAACAGCGCTGGAGGGAATTCAGAATCGCCCTCCTTCCTCCACACCACGGTCCTGATCCAGATCCAGCCCCATAGCACTTTTACAAAGGACATGCCAAAGTCCCCAGTGGCAACTTGTATAAAACATAACATGTAGTTGGGTCCCAGTGCTCTCAGCATTTTGAGCCCCAGAAACAGTTAGCATGTGTGTAGTGCGTTCAAGTGTTTACTTATGTTATCTTGATGTGATCCTCACAACAACCCTGTAAGGTAGGTGCTTTTTTGGGGGGGTCAAACTACACATCACTTTTTTACACAAGTCACCCCTGGAGACTTGCCAGTTAAATAGTGTGTGTGGGGGGGGATGCTGAACCTTTTCTTCTCATGCATCTCACACACCTATGAACACACATGGATCTGCCTAATATTGAATCAGACCCTTCAAGGTCAGTATTGTCTACTCAGACTGGCAGCATCTCTCCAGGGTCTCAAGCCAGGGTCTTTCACATCACCTACTCCCTGATCCTTTTAACTTGAACCATGGGCATTGAACCTGGGACCTTCTTCGTGCAAAGCAGAGGCTCTTCCACTGAGTCACAGCCCCTCCCCATGGTCCCCAGATGAATTCCATACCTGAGACATTTTCTCAGTTGGGAACTCTCAAAACATCTCTGGAACACTCATGGACTTTGTAATGTGTGAATTAGGGCTGGAATGAGCCTCAGTCCCCTGCTAAACCTCTGGTACACCTATGATACTTTAATTTCTATAGCAAGTAGCCTCTATAGTTGAATCTATAGCTCTGTTTCCCAGGAGGCTTCAGGACTCTGCTAAGTGCTGTGGCCTTCGGGTACCGATAACCCTGTACACAGCTTTGCCTCACATGGTTTTTGCCTTCTGGGAATGTTTATACTTTGCAGAAGTCAGGAGTCACTATCAAACTCTAGGTAGACAGAGTATCTGCAACTAGCTTCCTTGACTCTCTGAGTCAACCTAGCTTCACCCAGCTTTCCTTGACTTTCCTGACCCCAGAGATTGGTAGAAAGGGCCGACTTTATTGTATACATTAGACGTGTGCCAAATGCTTATCGCATACTTGACTGACAGTTACATTAGCTTCTATGGGTGAAAAAAGGTACTTAATGTCTGAAATCAGTTTTGTTCCTTGTTCTGGCCGGCCACCCTTCCATTATGGGTCTTGACTGAGCAACCAAGGATATCCTCTATAGAACTTCGAGTGCCTTGTTTATGCATTGGGGGTTGAGTCAAAATATTCTATGTTGAATCTTGAAATGCTTCAAAAGCGTTTTCTGACTTAAGCGTGTGTAATGGAATAAACTGAGCTTTGGTTTAGAACCGACTGTCTCTCTCTCTTGATGCGATTGGGAAGCCAGCTTCTCTCCCTCCCCAAAATGAACCCAGTGGGGATGGGAGTGCATGAAAAGGTTCCTGCACCCCTCATTTCCCCAACAGGAACCAAGGTCTATTAGACAGAGGTGAGATTGGAACCAGGGTCCTCCTGATTCACAGTTGACTTCTAGGCTGCACAAGTAGTGGGGATGCCATTTCATATTTGGGAAGGAGTCTAGATTCGGCAAGGACCCAAAAGTCAGCTCACGTCCTCCCTGCAAAGTGGCGCTTATTTGCATGTCACCACCTTTCCCCTGCATAAAATCGAAGCGACTCTCACGTGGGAAGTGAGCAGATCAGCAAGAAGGGTTCTAGCACAGGGTGTTCTCTGCCTGTGCAGCGTGATGCTCCTTCAGGCTGATGTTCCTGTTGTTGGGGGGTGGGGAATTAAAACACCGACTCCCCCCCCCCCCCCGGTAACTGCTTTCTGAGGAAGAGTCATGCTGCGTAATTGTGCCGAATCTGCAACTCAGCTCTAGGGCAGCTCTAAGCAGGAGTTGGGGGGTGGATCACGAAATACTGTGTCATGACTTCTGGTCTTCACAGTTCAAGTGTCTGCAGCAAGAGAAAAATACGGACCGCGACAGCCTCTCAGTCACAGCCCAACCCTGAAATCCAGCGAGGATCAACACAGAAATGTGGGAAGCACCTGCCTCCCAGCGTGACTGTTGTGAGGAGGGGAAGGGAAAAAGGAGTTTGCCTGCTCCTTGGGAGGAAAGCGATGGCGAACCTAAACAGCATGATAAAAAGTAGAGACATCACCCTGCCAACAAAAGTCCGCATGGTCAAAGCAATGGTATTCCCAGTAGTCATGTATGCCGAAGAATAGATGCTTTTGAACTAGGCTGAGCGCCGAAGAATAGATTCTTTTGAACTATGGTGCTGGAGAAGACTCTTGAGAGTCCCTTGGACTGCAAGAAGATCAAATCAGTCAATCCTAAAAGAAATCAACCCTGACTGTTCCCTGGAAGGTCAGATAATGAAACTGAAGCTCAAATACTTTGGCCACCCAATGAGAAGGGAGCACTCACTGGAGAAGATCCTGATGCTGGGAAAGATTGAAGGTCAAAGAAGACGGGGACGGCAAAGGATGAGATGGTTGGACAGTGTCATAGATGCAGCAAACATGAAGTTGAGCCAACTTCAGAGGACGGCGGAAGACAGGAAGGCAGTCGGACTCGACTGTGCGACTGAACAACAACAACAACTGCTTTACAACTGTTGACCTTATAACCTTAGCTTGTTATTTAGTCTTGTCTTCCGCATATCTTAAAACATCTTCGTCATGTTACATGTTAATTTGCTTTTCGGCTCCTGTCTATAAGCCTGAACCTTACCTTCCATTCCATTGTATTTGAAAAAGTGTGCGTGCACATGGAAGCTAATACCTTGAATAAAACTTTGTTGGTCTTAAAGGTGCCACTGGACTCTAAATTCGATATGCTGCTTCAGACCAACACGGCTACCCCACCTGGATCTACCTACATGAACACATGAAGTTGCCTTACACTGAATCAGACCCTCCGTCCCATCAAGGTCAGCATTGTCTACTCAGACTGGCAGCAGCTCTCCAGGGTCTCAGGTGGGGGTCTTTCACATCAGCTACTTGCCTGGTCCTTTTAACAGGAGATGCCAGGGACTGGACCTGGGACCTTCTGCATGCAAAGCAAAGGCTCTCCAACTGAGCCACAGCAGCTCTCCGGGTCTCAGGCAGAGGTCTTTCGTATCACCTACAACGTCCATGGCGTTTTATGTTTGACACCCTGTACAACATTGCTGCTCTTTACCCCGGCCTCTCAATCCCTTGGTTAAAACTCTGGCTCAGTTTCTACCAGGACTGCTTCACTGTTCCTTCCTGCAGCCTTATCGCAACCCAGAGCTCGGTGCTAAACTCCTTACCCTCACCCCATCCTTCAGACTGAGTGATTCTCCACCACACACACACGCACACACACACACGGACATCCTTGTTGTTGTCCCATCCTCTTCGTCTTCAGAGAGCCAGTTTGGTGTAGTGGTTAAGACTCTAATCTGGGAGAACCGGGTTTGATTCCCCACTCCTCCACTTGCACCTGCTGGATGACCTTGGGTCAATCACCAGCTCTGGCACAGCTGTCCTTGAAAAAGAGCAGTTTGCATCAGAGTTCTCTCAGCCCCACCCACCTCACAGGGTGTCTGTTGTGGGGAGGGGAAGGGAGAGGAGTTTGTAAGCCGCTCTGAGACTCCAAGTGAAGGGCGGGGTATAAATCCAATCTCCTCCTCTTCTTCTTCTTCTTCTTCCGTATGTTTATCAATCCAAAATGCTCCAACCCTTTCTCAGTCAGCTGAAGATCCTGGCACACAAAATATCTTGTTGGGGTTGCTTCAGATCTCTCCTGAAACTCAC